GGGAATCAGCAGGGCTCCCAGTGCATGTTCTTGCTTTGCAGTCCCCCCAGTTAAACCCTCTTTGGTAACCGCCTGCCTCGCCCTCCTCTCTCCAGTGAATACCCTCCCACCAACCCTCGCTTCCCGCTTGCTCCAGCTCATCCACATGGATCTCGGCCCGGCTGAACAGCAGCGTCCTGCTGCTCTAGCAGCTCCCACCTTCTCCCTCRATGTCGGCATTGAAGTTGCCAGGAGAGGCAACAGTTGTCCAAAAATGCACATTCTGGAGATGACACAGAGCCCTCCTGAGCAAAGTGCCCTTTTCTTTCCCAAGTTATAGGGCACTTATTTTTCACTTTGGCTTTCACCTTGAACCTTAAGCCCAAATGCTGCATAGGAAGCAGATGGGTTGGGGTGYCACACACATCACCCACCTTTACCTGAGGATCTTGCTGAGATGCCGTAGAAGAAGATCAGCAGGAAATTGGCAGCAAAGTGTCTTCATGGCAGGAGAAGATACTTGCTAATGGCCTTGCTCCACCAGCAAGCAGGGATGGGTCTTGTGCAGCAAGCACACGCAAGCCGTGCATGGGGGGAGTAAATGCTGCCTTCTGYCACCACCCTGTGCTAGGGATGGAGTGGCAAAAACTGCCCTTGCAGAGGTGGGCAGTGAGGCTGGAGGTGTTKGCTGCTCAAAGGTTGTGCTCTTTGGCAGAAGACAGGGTGATTCATCTTCTTTTGGCACCAGATATAGGCTCGAACAGAGCTCAGTGCTTGGAAACCCAAGCAAGGACAGGCACAGGGGGTTCAAACCATCAGAGTTTTTTTTAAGTTGAGCATTTTTAGATTGTGTCTTTAGATTTTGCCCATGCTTGACTTGTCCATACAGCAACGTGTTGGAAAAGCATCTTTTCTTCAGGTGGGTCTGTAATCGCGTGACTCGGGAAGCACAGAGATTGAAGGAAAAACTTTGCAACTGAGGGGCCCTCTCTTGACTAGCAAATCCTCCCACACAGAGTGATACTCCCAGAAGAGCAAATTCTCCAGCTTTACCCTTGCTGGTGTTTGCCTGGCGCATCTGCTGCTGCCAACACCTTCCCTGGGGCTCTGCCTCGCTCGGGGAGCTCAGGGGCTGCAAGGAGCTGGTGCTCGGATGCAGGGCGCCTTTCCCAGGCAAGCGGGCGGGATACAGGATGTGGGATGCAGGATGCAGGATGCAACGGCCTCGCCCCTGGAGCGGGTGTGCAGCAGGAGACAGTCTGGCTTGGGAGCCGGCAACTGGGCTGAGAGGCTCCGAGTGGCGAGGATCAAACAGCTGCCCGGGCAGTAAATCTTTCCCCTGCCATGTTCCTCACTGGGGCTTGTGGCCGTTCCTCCGAGGTCGGCCCCGGGTCAGGATTTCTCCTGTCTCTTTAGCCCCCGAACCTTGGAGATTTTTGTCTTATCTTTGACGCCATCTTGACATCGAAAACAAATTATGGCCCAATTACCCTTCCCGAGGGAGACTGGGGCCACCTTAAATGGGCAGAACTGCCAGGCACGGCCTTAAGAGCAGGTAAGGAGTGGGGTGGGGAGGGGGCCGGGGACCCCCTTGGCAGGGGCTGTCCCTGCCCGCCACCATCCCGCCTGTTCCCCACATCCATGGATGTGCTGCAGGGATGGGGATCCCGGCGGAGGGCACCTGGCCCTGACCTTTGGAGCRACCTTGAGCAAGGCTCTGATCCAGCTTGGCCTCTCACTGCCGGTGCTCCTCGGGGCTCCGCATGGATGGGAATGGCTGGGAAGCGGGGAGCTGGGCACATGGGCCAGCCCCATCCTGCACCTGCTCTGGCTGTCACGTCTCAAGTGAAAGTCCCTTTTCTCCTCCCGTCGCAGCGGCGTCGGGGCCGGCCGGGGGTGGGAGATGCCCACGCGTGTCCTGGCCGTGGTTTGGGGTGCCCAGGTGTGCGGCGCTGGTCTCGCCTGCCCCACTCCTGTCTGCAGGGCTCCGGCTGCAGCATTCCTGCTACCCAGGCAGCTCTTGCCCTTTCCAGGAATGTTGGAGTGGGAACCACTCATGGAGCTGCTTCCCATCCAAGATGCAGCCTGGGAAGCTGCACAGAAATGCAGGATGTTCCGCTATCCCCCTGGCACTGCGGGCTGGGCTGCAGGTACCATCCCACTCCCGGGTTAGTGGGTGCCTTGGCCTGCACAGAGCCAGGGGGTCTTTCCTTACCTCTTTTTTTTTTCGGTTGGTCAGCTTGGTATTTTACTTGGCTCCATACTGTCTACCGGGCTGTCCAGCGTAACCCTTCCTTCGCTGCCTCCGAGATAAGGACAGGCTCCCCCGGGGATCAGATAAACAGGCCCATAAATACCGGGAGCAGCGAGCAGCCGGGGCTGGCGGCGACGGGGCCGCTTGCACAAGAGGCGGCCGCTGCGCCCGGCGGCGCGGAGCCCTCGTGGGCAGGGGGCACGGGGGCCGCCCCGCTCATCCCGGGGCTGCTGGCGGCCGCGGCGGAGGCTCCCAGGTGCCGGAGGCTCCCACTTCCCGGCGGCGTCAAGTTCACGGCAGGGTCGAGCCGTGGGCACGCAGCCTGCAGGGATGGGAACTCGGAAGCCGGCGGCGCTCGAGCTGCTCTTCTTCCACCCAGGTGAAATTTCGTGGATCCCAGRCCACGGCAGTGGGCTGTGAGTGCCCCGCGTGTGGGCAGGGGACACCGGCCCCCTGCACGGGGCCGTCCTGGGTGCAAAGTCCCCCCACGATAACCGGGGCAGCCTGGCCGCTGCCGTGCCTATAGGGCCAGGAGCTGTGCACGTCGCCGGGGCTGGACGCCTTTATGGGCCGCTGCATTTCAGTGTTACGGGGATAGCTAGCGAGCTTTCCCGTAAAAACCCAGCCCGCTGAGGGATTGTGAAACTCCTCCATAAAACACGATATTTGGGGCGGATTTTCTGTAATTTTTCCTTTTTTCTTCTCTTTTATTTTTTGCTTACAGCGGCTGTATTTGTTTTTAGAAGGGCYCTGTTCTTGCTTCACTCGCAGAGCTGGTGCCATGCTAAACTTTTTATAGCATGAGCAAGAAAAATACCAGTGCAAGCAGACTGCTCTGSACAGGCAGTCCGTTTTCATCTCAACCTCCTTCAAAGAACTGGGAAAAGGGGCCCGATCCGGGGTTTGCCAGCACCTGGAGCAGCACCGCGGACGCAGAGCCCCGGCCATCCATGTTTCCCACAGCAGCTCCCTGGTGYGGGTGTTTGTACCTGCGTGTGTGGGTGTTTGTACACACGGATTTGTGTGTGTGTTTGCACACAGGAATTTGTGTGTTTGTACACACGTGTGTGTATTTGTACACACACACACGTACACACAGCCACCCTGCAGATGTCCAGGGTGTTTTTGCTGTGCCYGGTTGTGCACACACAAATGGATCACACAAATGTCACTTCCACGTGTTCGTAGTTCGGTACCTTTCGTTACAAGCAAAAACTGTTTTTTAAATAGAAAAYGGAATGCTCCCAGCTGAACCCTCTGGCTAAACCTGTGGTAATGCCCAGCTCCTGCTCTYCTGCTTTTCTTTGCCTCATGAGCATTCCGGCGCATCCCAACGTGCCTGGGAACGGCAGCGAGGCCGGGCTGGGAATGCAGGATCGGGCTTTGCGGCCAGGAGCAGGGCTGCAGTAACGAAGCCRGGTGCGCGTAAGCAATGAGCGAGGCTCGGTATAACAAGGTCCGGGTTTAATTAGGAAACCTTATCCAGGATTTGGGCCGGGGCCTTGGAAGGGCTGCGGAGGAGCMAGCAGAGTCCCGGGAATGGCTGTTCCTGCGGGTGGAGGCAGCTGCAGCGCTGGCTCCTTCCAAAGTGAAGCAGGGGCACCTCCTAGATGGGATTCCTCCAAGGAAGCGCTGCAGGAGCCGGAGCAGAGCCCTGGGTCTCAGCGTGGGGCTGGGGGCCGGTGCCGCAGCGAAATGGGCCCCGCGGCACCCGGGTGCTTCCTGCCATCCCTCGGCAAACCCGGCAGGGCTCCGGGGTCAGGATCCAGCCTCTCGCCTGTCTCTTGTCGGGAAGGGACAGGGTTGGGGCTCCCAGCGCGTGAGCGCCGCACAGGGCAGTCCCTGAGGAAGCAGAAGGGCAAAGGCAGCGCCGCAGTCTCTGTCCCTGCTTCGGAAGGGTCTCCCAAAGAGCCTGGGGGATCCAGGGCAGCCGTGGCCATGGATCCAGCCCCCTCTCCATGCTTGCGCATGCACATTTTTAGCCTTAACTCTTGGCCATTTCTAACCTTGATGTAAAATGTGTGCACGCAATCACAGCATGAGAAAAACCCCCAGGAGCTGCATGAGGGAGCCCAAGGCCCAGCGGGAGCGAACTCCAGAGTGTGGATCAACACCGCGGTCGGGCACGGACTTAAGCCATGTCCTTAATCCTGCAGAGCCCAGTGTCCTTCAGGCCCAGCCAGGGACCCTTGTCCTCCCCAGGGATTGTCCCCAGCAGTCCCACTGGCTTCTCCAGCCTGTGCTGCCCCAGGCAATGGCGGCAGCCCCGGGAGCAGGAGGGAGCTGAGCCCGGCAGGATTGCGGGAAAAGGGCCCCGTGTCCCGCGGGGAAGGAGGAGGGGGGACCCAAGGCAGTTTGCATAAAGTTTTAATTTTATTTATTTATTTTTTAATTATTCCCTTTTAAATATGTAGTGTGGCGCGCCCGGTCCCTCGGGAAGTGGTCATGCAGATCTGAGGTAGAAAACCCGGCACAGGAGCGTTCCCAAATGCACCTCTAGGTAGTTTCAACGCAGCCACGCGTCTCTTGGCCACACTCGGGCAGCGGACGGGGACGGGACGGGGACGAGTCTCATATTTACAACAGCAAAAGAATCAAACCGTTCCGGCCCGGCGGGAGGGCAGGAGCGCCCGATGCTGCTGGCAGGGGCACGGAGCGGAGGTGCCTGCGCCCGGGGGCGGCCGGGCCCCGGCGGGGCGGCAGCGCTGCCGCGTCCCGCGGGCGCCGGGACGGGCTCTCCGCGACATTGCACATGGAGGGGCGGCCCTCAGGGGTTCAGTTCCAGAGCCCAGACCTGCTGGGGCCAACCCGTGCGGCCCTTCAGCTTCTTCTCGCCGTGGCCTAAAGGCTGCGAGTAGACATCGGGCTGCTGCGGGAGACGAGACGGGGAGAGGAGCGGTGAGGAGTGGAGCCCTCCGACCCGGCGCCAGCCCCGACCCTTCCCGGGACACCGGCTCCCGCCCTTTCCCGCGGGGACAGAGCGGAGCGGGGCCTCCCGTCCGCACCTCGCGGCCGCCCCGCGCCAGCCGCGGCAGATGCAGCGGCCTCGGGCGTCCTCGCGTGTCGGCCCGGCCCGAGGAAAAAGTTTCTCCCGAAAAGCCTGGCCGGGAAGGGCCCCGGGAGCCGGTGCGGGGCCAGCCCGACGGCAGCGGCGGCCGCGGGTTTCAGCCCTCGGGAAGGCGCCGGCCCGAGCTCGGCGCGGGGTCCCCCCCGCCGCCCCACTCAGCACCGTGTCCTGCGCCTCTTACCGGCTCCCGCTTCCTCTTGTTCTCCCTGCCGTCGGCCTTCTTGAGCTCGGCCTTGAAGCCCTCCGTGTCCCCGGGCTGGCTGTCCTTGGCCAGCACCTCCATCAGGTAGGCGATGTAGCTGGTGGCCAGGCGCAGCGTCTTGATCTTGGAGAGCTTGGTGTCGGCGGGCACGTTGGGGATGCACTCGCGGAGCTCGGCGAAGGCGCTGTTGATGCTCTCCGTGCGGCGCCGCTCCTTCTTGGGCCCCGCCGAGCCCCTGCGGCGGCCCAGGCGGCCCCCGAGCGCCTCCAGGCGCGCCGGGCCGGCCGGGCCGAACTCGGCGGCGCCGTAGCCGGGGCCGTGCGCGGGGGCCGCCTCGGCGGGGCCGAGCACCCAGCCGGGGAAGTAGCCGCGCTCCTGGTGGCAGCGCCCCAGCAGGAAGGGCTCGTGCAGCACGGCGGGGTGGTGCTGCTGGTAGCCCCCCACCAGGTTCATGGTGGCCGCGCTCAGGGCCGCTCCATGGCGCGGCCGGCGGCGGGGCCGCTCCGTCCGCGCCCGCACCAGGGCCGGGGCCGCCGCCTTGGCGCTGGGCTGAGGGCTGAAGGCT